TATGGGAACAGGACAGGGAATACAGGAATGGAAATCTCAGAGGAGCATTGGGACCAGGAATAGGAACAGGACAGGGAATGTGGGACAGAAACAGAAATTGAGACCGGGAGTGGGATTCACGCTGGGATGGGAGCACAACGTGTCCCAGAGCAGGGTGACATGGGAATGGGAGGGAGAGAGGGATCCTGCACAGGGGACACTGGGAACTGAGAGGGGGGACATGGGGACAGTCCTGGGCCAGGGGCTCCTTGATCAGCTGCCCCAGAACCTCCACCGGGGTCTCCCAGTGCAGCTGGAACTGCTCGGCCTGGGGTGCCCAAAGGCCTGAGCAACCCCCAAGTCCCTCCCAGGAAACCTCAGCTCCCTCTAATCCAGCATCCCCCACATCCCCTGCAAGATTCCCCCATGTCCCCATCCTTGCCTTAGTTCAACATCTTTATTTTTACCCAGTTTTTGGTTTTTTTGAAAGGACAAAGAGAAATTAAAAGACAATCAAGGGTGCCGGGAGCCAGGATGAATTGGAGCCCCCCAGGCAGGTGTCTTCCCAACATGGATCACCAGCACCAAGGATCACCGGGGCTCTGCCCACCTCGGGTCACTGGGGATCATCCGGCGTGGACTGTCCCATGGGGGATGGAGCTGGAGCAGTGCACGGAGCTCTTCCCGCACTCAGGGCACTCACAGGGCTGCCCTTAGTGGTGCCTCCATTGGTGTTGGGTCAAGGCTGAGCTCTGGCAGAAGCTCTTCCCACACTTGGGACACTCATGGGCCTGTGACATCACAAGGAGCGGAGATGGATGTCAGGCACCCACCAAAGCTGCTCTCAATCCCTTCCAGAGATGGCGAGGAGAAAATAGAATGAAGTCTTCATGGGTTGAGTTAAGGACTGGGACAGATCACTCAGCAAATGCCATCATGGGCAAAACAGTTCAAAATTAGAGACATTAATTGAATTTATTACTATCAATCAGAGCAGGATAGTGAGAAGTAAAATAAAGCTTTAAAAACACCTTCTGCCCATCCCTCCCTCCCTCCCTCCCTCCCTCCCAGCTCTGCCTCCTCCCCCAGTGGTGCAGACAGACAGGCATGGGGGTTCTGCTCAGTTCATTCCTGTTATTTCTCCTGCTACTCAAGGAGAGGAGTCGTTCCCCTGCTGCACCATGGGGTCCCTGCTGGAGACACTTCTCCATGAACTTCTCCAAGGTGAGTTCATCTCAGGGACAGCAGCTCTTCACAAACTGCTGCAGCGTGCCTCACTCTCCCATGGGCTCACGTGGACAGACCCTGCTCCAGCGTGGGCTCCTCTCTCCATGGGTTTGCAGGCCCCTGCCTGGTCCCTGCTCCAGCACAGGTTTCTCATGGGGTCCCAGCCCCTGCTCAGACACCCCCTGCTCGAGCACGGGCTCCTCCAGGCGCTGCAGGTGCATCTCTGCTCTCCGTGCCCTCCATGGGCTGCAGGGGCTCAGCTGCCTCCCCAGGGGCTGCCCCAGGGAATCTCAGGGCAATCAGCTCCAGCCCCTGCAGCAGCTCCTGCCCCTTGTCCTGCCCTGCCCTGGGGTGTGCAGAGTTGTTCCTCTCTCACATGTTCTCACCCTGGTCACAGCTACAACTGCATGATAACCGATTTTCGTACATCTCTTATCCCAAAGGTGTTACCACCATTTCTAACAGGCCCAGCCTTGGCCAGTGGCTGGTCTGTCCTGGAGCTGGCTGGAATTGCGTTTGTGGGACATGGAGGAGCAGCTGCTTCCATCATCCTCTCACAGAAGGTGCTCCTAGGGCCACCTCTTACCAAAACCTGGCCATGCAATCCTAGTATAAGTATGGTCGGGTTTTATTACCATTATTCATTCTTATTATTCCTATTTTGGCTACTTTTGCTCTTAATATTACAGTTACTACTAGTATTTTTTAATCTTTTTGACTCTATATTAAGAGTGTCTTTAGTAGAACTTGAAACAAGAGTTCTTAATTGCAAGTAGAAGTTATCCTTTTTCCAGCCTCTTGCCCTGCCCTGTTCTGTGTCATTGCTGTATGTGAAGCTGCTGCTGCCAGGGCTCCCCATTTCCCTGGTTTGGGAAATTCGATGGCATTGCTCACATGTCAGAAAGAGAGGGCTCATTCCAATCAAATGCATTGCCTGAACTCTTCTAGTCCCAGTGTTGGAACCTTGTTTTGTAATGTTGTTGACTTTCCCAGTATCTGTTAATATTTGTGATTTTATGACAAAATGTTCTTGGATGTGATTTTGCAAAATTCTGTAGTCAGCTTTCAGTTTGCTCTGGGATTTCTTAATGGTGTGTCAGAACTGAATGCAGCATTTTGGGTAGTGTGAAAAACAAGTTCAGTCTCCTGTGAAAATTTAAAAAGTGTAATAAAGGACAATAGGAGACAGGGACCATAGAGCAAAGGGTATTCTGGCCGGGTGCACCTTGGCCAGAATATGCAGATTCCTTGGTTGTGGATTTAGTCCTTTTTTATCACCTCCAGTTTTTGGGTCTTGGTCCACACTGTCTTCATACGGTGAGTGCTGATATTTGACATACCTGTAGCAGGTGTCCTCATCCTATGTTCATTGGATGTTATCCCATCCAAGCAGGCATTTTAACATAAGCAGAGCTATTTCACTTCTATGTCTAAGCTTAATTAACAAGAGAAAGAAAAACCGTATAACAAAGTTAGTTTAACATTACACATATAAAATCCATTTTTTATTTGCGAAAAGCCATTATTATAATATGTATCTCTAACAGGTGGGAAGCCTTCACTCAGAGCTAGCATTGTCTCAGCAGCAGCTGGTTTTGCACTTGTAAGCACAGATAACAAAGATTCCATGAGCTGAATGTTCCGCCTCGTTGCGGAACCTCCAGTGGTGGCTGGAGCCAGCTGCCCTGGGAGATGCAGGTGGTGCCGGGCGGGCAGTGGCCGGAGCCCATGGCAGGGGCTGGCCATGGACACTGACCCTGGGCTGAGCAGGGGCTTGGGGCCCTGCGGCGCCGGGCGCTCGGGGCCCGCTCACGCTGGGATCCTGCGGGAGCCGGGAGCAGCGAGAGAGCCCGGGCCAAACATCAGCACCCGTGAGTCATGATTTAAAAATTTAGGATTTTAGGTGAGAGTTAGAACCAGTTCATAATGAAGTTAGATAAACCAACAATAGGTTAATGATTATTAGATGCTTAAGCTAAAGCTAATTGTTATGAGCTCATTTGTTGAAGGAAGTGGAGCAAGTGAACCATTATAGGAGCATATTGAAACCAGTAGAACAATGCCCAGCACCTGGACTCTGTGTCAATCCATCAGCAAGCAGGGGGCCTTGGATTGTGCCAGAGGGTCACAGAGACCTGACCAAGACCTTCCTGTCTTCTTCCCCGGGACCACTGACCCAATTCAGGACCACCAACCCAATTCAAGAGAAGAATGAAGGACTCATGAAGGACTAATGATCTCATTTTTATACAAAGTGTTATAAATGAGAAGCTTGACTAGGTCAGTATTCAAGCAGCAATCAATTTATTAATTAATATGGTAAAGTATGAGCAATACAGCGCTGGGTACAGTGGGGGAAGTTTTCCCTCCAACTGCACACCGATACTTGAGGCTTACAGGTATTTATACAGGTACTCATAAGCTTTCTCAGCAGTTTCTATTCCAAATTTTTTACTCATCAGCAGTTTCTATTTCCAATTTTTATGGCACAATTCTATACACTATTGTGATTTCGTTTTTCTCAGGATGTATCCCAGAAAGGAGTATCCCGACATGATGGTGGTCTGGCTTCTGAAAGAAGAAAGAAGTATCCCAGCTGATGCGGTTCCAGTTTCCAGATGTGGGTCCACCTTTTAATTGCAAGGACTATAAATCTCATAACAGTGATGTGCAGCTTCCCTTGGTCAAAACTATTAATCATTGAGTTGATGTTCATCTTCCTTTCTCAAGCTGCTTTTCACTGTTTTGTTAAGGCGTGAGATAAGCATGTTTCCTTTTTATATATTCTAAAGCTATAGTTTCAAAGATCCTTACTACAAGCAATAGTCTAAAATTATACTTCAAAAGGTTATTATTGCAAAACTCTTTCGGGCTTAGCTACAAGCAGAAAGTTCCTGTCTAAAAGCAACATCCTTAAAGCTTTAATTCAAATGCTCCTAAATCAACTTAAGACTTATAAAGGTTAATTGTGAACAAAGGATAGGTTCAAAGGCCTTCTTCCATGCTTTACTTTTCTCAGTTATTATTAGAATTCGTCTTTACAAGTGTCCCATGGTCGGTTTCCACAGATATCACAATCACAAATACACACGTTGCCTGTATGTACCTGACACAAAACACAGCTTTGTATTTCACAAAAGCGGGCATGGGAGGTGCTGGGGTTATGCATATGTATTGTTTTTGGGAAATAAATAGAAGGCAAAAGTCCTTGTGTGGTGCAGTCACACATTTCAGGGACGACCCTGCCTGTGCCACCCGCCGGTGTAATAAACACACCACTTTCTAACGGTGACGAGTTCGAGAGTCTTTGCCCACGATTTTTGGTTTTACCGATTCACCGGGGCCGGCACGGGCGGGGAGGGGGCACAGCCCAGGGAGGCCCGCAGAGCCTCCCTGGTCCAAATCCCCACCTGCAGCAGCGGGGAAGCTCCCAGGATCTTGGGGGCAGGGAGGAGCCGCAGGCAGGTGTTCCAGGTGCCTCCTTTGGGGCAGGGTTCTGTCCCGATATGAGGGAATTCCCGCAGGCTGGGCGGGCTGGGGCCGCTGCCGAGCACCGCCGCCTTTCCCCGGGAGCCGCTGGGCAGAGCTCTCTGCTCGGGGGGCTCCGGGACAGAATTTTGGGGGGTCTCGGTGTTGGTGCCGGCAGAGCCCCGGCGCTGGGCCGGGGGATGCGTGGGACCCTCCCGCGGGGGTGGTTGGGCTGCATTGTCAGCCCCGAGCCACGGGGGGATCGCCCGGCACCGGCGGGGCTGGAGAGCGGAGAGGGCGGCACCGGAGCTGGGGGAGCCTCTGCAGCCTGCGGGGTCGGACATCCCGATAAGGGGGACCCCGGGAGCCTGGAACGTGGAGCCCGGATAGGGGGGACCGGACCCTCTGCAGCCTGGAGATGTTGGGACCATGGACAAGAGAGACCCATGGGTACCCCGGGGCCCTGAAACGGGGACCCCGCACAGCTGGTACCCCTGGAGCCCCTCTGACACCCACCTGGGAGCCCAGGGAAGGGAACCTCTGGGATTGCCAGGAGCCCCTGCAGCCCAGAGAGAGGAGATGCCAATACACACTGGAGCTGCAGAAGGCCAGGCAGGAGGGACCCCTGAACCCCAAAGTGGAGAGACCAGAGTGGGGGAACTCCTGGGTGAATGGTTGTTTGGTGAATCCTGGTGGTTTGGGTTTTTATGAGGGTGGCTGAACCTTGGTGGTCTGGAAGTTTTTATGAACACCAGATACCTGGTGACTTCTGGAGATGGAATTGGGCAGGAGGAACACCCAAGGCAACACACTCACACCTTGTTTTTCCCCCATAAAAGGAATTTCAGTTCCCAAAGTTTGACCAGATGGAGGAGGAGACCATGAGGAAGATGAAGATGCCCTGGCAGCCCCAGGCAGGTGAGGAAGAAGTCAGTGCTGCTTTCCCCCTCTCTCCTGCTCCATATCCCAGCCCAGCATCCATCCTTCCTTCCTTCCTTCCTTCCTTCCTTCCTTCCTTCCTTCCTTCCTTCCTTCCTTCCTTCCTTCCTTCCTTCCTTCCTTCCTTCCTTCCTTCCTTCCTTTTTTCTTGTTCCTTTCTCTCCTTGTCCTTCCTCCCCCATAAAAGGAGCTGAGGCCAGAGACCAGGGAAGACAAATCTCCACAGCAGAACCTCATGCAAGAGGCTGTTCTGAGAGGCTTGACAGTGCAGGAATTCAATGGGGACAAAAAGCCCCGGAGATCCCACATGAAGAGGGGCTGCATACCCAGCCCAGGAAGCCGTGAGGAGGAAAGGCCCACCCTGTGCTGGGAAAGCAGCCGGAGATCCAGATGCAGCTTGGAGCTGGTGGTTCCTGAGCACCTTCATGGCAGGGAGAAGCCCTACAAGTGCTTGGAATGTGGGAAGAGCTTCAGGCAGTGCTCCAGCCTCCTCACCCACCTTTGCATGCAACTGGCTGGGACCCCCTTTGAGCAGGGCCAGATTTGAGCCAGAATATTGGGAGTCCCAGAGCCAGCCTGGTGAGTGCACCCAGCACATCCCCCACTGACCCAGAGCTGCTGCAAGTCCAGAACAGTCAGAGCAGGGCTGAGCTTGGGGAGCCAGGGGCTGGGGGGATCCACAGCAATAGGGGTTATCTGTGGGGCTGGGATGGGAGTTGTCCTCCTGCTCCTCACCGTCCTGTGCTTCCCAGAGCCCAGTCACTCCCAGTATGATCCCTGTTGCCCTCAGCATGGTTCCAATTGCTCCCTGTTGCTCCCAGTGTGATACCAGTGGCCTCCAGTATGGTCCCAGTCACTCTCTGTATGATCCCAGTCTCTTCCACCAGGGTCCCAGTCATGCCCAGTTGCCCTCAGTGTAGACCCAGTCACTCCCACTTGCTCCCAGTTGCCTCCAGCATGGTCCCTGTTGTTCCCAGTGTGGTCTCTGTCACTCCCAATAGGGTTACAGACACTCCCAGTACATCCCAGTTGCCCTCAGCATGCTTGGAGCCATTCCCAGTCACTCCCAGTATGATCTCTGTATGATCCCAGGAGAGCCCAGTCACTTCCAGTAGGAGCTCATGGAGCAAAGCTCATGGAACGCCTGGAGGACCCAGCCAGAGGAGGGTCCCTCCAAGTTCTCTGGCTGCAGGAAGAGCCCCAAGGAGCAGAGGTCCCCCCAGAGCCACCACCCCAAGTAGGAGGTGGTGACAGCTCTGCAGCCTGGGGCCCTGGGACCACCAGGGGGGACTCCAGATGGACACCCCAGCAAGTGGCTCACACAGCCCCTCCTCCTGTGCCCAAAACCCCACCCTTGGCATCCCTCATCCCTCCCTGCAGTCCCCTCTCCAACATCTGCAGGCCTCTGGCAAGAGCCCAAAGGGATGGAAGTGCCTAAAACGGTGATGAAGTGCCTGAGCTGCTCCCAGCTGTGGATGTTCCTGTCCACAAACCTCTCCTGGTCAGTGCCATGTGGAGATGGGAGGGGGATTAGGGAATGCTGAGAAGACTGAAAGGGGGTTTTGTGTGCTCTAAGGGGCATTTTTGGTTGTGGGAGGGTGTAGGGGGCTTTTGAGGGGTCTGTGGGGGAGTTTTCGGAGTTCTGGAAGAGCTGTGCAGCTTAGAAAGAATTTGGGTGGGTCTTTGGAGGGGTGGAAAAGAGTTTTGATGGATCTTGAGGCCATTTCTGTTGCATGGAATGGTTTGCGGAGTGAGCAGAGATCTGTGGGGTGGTTTGAGCGGGCTGGGAGGGGGTTTTAGGCAGTCATGACCCCCCAGACCTCCCCCAGAGCTGCCACCAGACCCTGCCCACAAGGTGCTCCTGGGGGACAGGGGCTCCATGTAGGGGTTTGTCTTCCTGGCACCCTGGGAGTGAGGGGGGATCCCCCTGGGCTGTGTGTGACCCTCCCATCCTGGTGTCAACCCCTTGTCCCTCCCCACAGGGCTCCTGCCCCAGCTCCTGCTCCCCCCAGAGGGAATTTGGGGAGGGGGCACAGGGAGTGCACAGCCCCCACCAGGGGATGACGCTGGCCCAGCCCCTTTGTTCAGCACCAAGCTGGGCCTGGGGCCACAGGAGGAAGAGGCTGATGGGAAGCAGATCCTGCAGCTGGGACAGTGCTTGGGGTCAGGGCAAGGTCCTGCCCTGCACACCTGGCTCATGTGTGACTCTGCCCCGGGACATTCCCATCCCCACGGATCCCATCCCCAAAATCTCACTCCTGGGATCCCTCACCCGTCTCTGCAGTCCCTGCTCCAACACCTCCAGGCCTTTGGGAAGGGCCCTGATGCCGACAGAACTTAGATCAAAGTTACAAAGTGATGATATAGCTTGAGTTATATCAGTATAACCTGATAGATCTATATAACCTGATATCAATAGAACCTAAATAATGACTTTTTATATATCTATATAAATATACCTAGATAACCTGAATCATCCTTTTTTTGTGCCTATACTACCTGATATAAATAACGTTCTACAATGCAATGGCTTGTATATGGTTAACTAGTTGCTTAATGCTGAATAGACAGAAAAAAAGAAGAAAAAAAACTCACCAGATGCAGAGCTTCAGAGATAGATAGGGATAGTACTAACGAGAAATTGTGCAAAGCCAATGAGCCACAAAACAAACAATTTAGGCTGGTTAGGACCAGACACACCAAGGAACACCACAATTGTACATGCTCCAAAGACCAAGTTGAAAACTTCATATGCGAAGAAAGCCTTGGAAGCCTTTCCTAAAATGCCCTCCCTGCAAAACCAGGACAATCACAGACTCCTGACAGACCCCAGATTAAGAATATGCAAGTGCACTGCAGAAGAACTATAATACCCATGAGCTCATACAATGTAAATGAGTCCTGCAGGTAGGTGATGATGTTGTAGTGACACAGAGACACTGAGCAACACCTACTGCATGAATATACCACAGCACGTGACATCTAAAAACACCGCTCTGTGGGGATTTATTTCCAGTTTATATTTCGGGCATCAGCCCAGAGGGATGGAATTTCCTACCCAGGGTCCTGACCAAGCCCAAGTGTGGATTTGCAGCCCACAATTTTCCCAGTTTGCCTCTCCTTTTCCCCACGTTGGATTCCCCCTGCCCCCATCAGATGGGAGCAGCTGAGAGCCCCACACTGCCCATCCCGGCCTCTCCCAGCTCAATCCCTGCTCCTGTGACTTCTAGAGATGAGCTTGGGCAGGAGGAATCCCCAGCTCTCACACCTTGTTTTCACCCCCAAACCAGGATTTGCCATTCCCAAACCTTGGCCCGATGCAGGAGGAGGAGGAGGCCGTGAGGAGGAAGAAGAAGATGTCCCGGGAGCTTAATGGAGGTGAGGAGGAAGTCAGTGCCCCTTTCCCCCTCTCTCCTGCTCCATCTCCCAGCCCAGCATGGCCCCCGGCTGCAGGACAACCCTGCTGCCAAAGCTGTCCTGCTGGGGACGCACTGGGGGGATCTCCTTGCCCTTCCCTGTGGCACAGAGGCAAATCCCATCCTGTCCTTGTCCTTCCTCCCCCAGACCAGGAGCTGAGGATGGAGAGCAGGGAGGACAAATCCCCACAGCAGAACCTCGTGGAAGAGGCTGTTTTGAGCAGCTCCACAGCACAGGAACCCAAGGGGAGGAAAAGCCCCGGACATCGGGCACAAGGACAGGCTGCAGACACAGATCACAGGGATCTGAGGAGGAAAGACCCACCTGAGGCTGGGGAGGCTGCCGGAGCTCAGAGCTGGGAGCAACTTCAAGATGAGGAGAAGCCCCACAAGTGCTTGGAATGTGGGAAGAGCTTCACCCAGAGCTTCAGGCTCCTCACCCACCTTCAGGTGCACACGGGGCAGCGGCGCTGGGAGTGTAGGGAATGTGGCAAGAGGTACAGGCACAGCTCTCACCTCTACCACCAGCGGGTGCACACCACAGAACGGCCCTACACGTGCTTGGAATGTGGGAAGAGCTTCAGTGTTCGATCCACTCTGACCTCCCACCAGAAGGGCCACACTGGGGAACAGCCCCACGAGTGTTCCGAGTGTGGGAAAAAGGCTCGGAGCAGTTTGGATCTCCTCAAGCACAGCACACCAGTGTCCCGAGTGTGGGAAGACCTTCAGGCACAGCTGTAGCTCGACCCAACACAAACAGAGCCACCACTAAGAGAAGCCCTGAGAGTGCCCTGAGTGTGGGAAGAGCTTCCTGTGCTGCTCCAGCTCCAAGCCTCCATCCTCATGGGAGGATCCACGCTGGATGATCCCCAGTGACCCCCGGTGGGCAGAGCCCAGTGATCCGTGTTGGGAAGGCACCTGCCTGCGGGCTCCACATCCTCCTGGGTCCCCATGGCCTGGGTTTTCTTTTCATTTCTCTTTGTCCCTTCAAAACACCCAAAACTGGAGTAAAAAAATAAAGACATTGAACTAAGACATTGATGGGAACATGGGGGGATCTTCCAGGAGATATGGGGGATGCTGGGTCCAAGGGATTTGAGGGTTCCTGGAAGGGATCTGGGGGTTGCTCAGGGCTTTGGGCACCCCAGGCTGAGTGGCTCCAGCTGTGCTGGGAGGCCCTGGTTGTGGTTCCGGGGCAGCTGATCAAGGCCCCCCTGCCCTGGGACTGTTCCCATCTCCCTCATCCTGGTTCCTGAAGTTCCCTGTGCAGGATCCCCCTCTCCCTGCTGTCACCCTCCTTTCCTCTGGCCCATTCCCATGTCACCCCACTCTTGGGCCCATTCTGCTTCCATGCCAGTCTGAATCCCATCCCCAGTCTCATTCCCTGTCCCTGTCCTGTCTGTCTGGTTGTATTGCACTAAGTTGTTTCTTTAGCTATTGTTCTGCACTGGCTGGTCTTGTTATTTTGCAGGGAACAGTTGATGTTGTATCACATGGTTTGTCCCGCACACACCCCTCTCCCCCAAAGCCCTGGTGCTGCTCTTGCCCTGGGTTACTCCTCCCCTCAGCCCTCCCATCAGTTGTATCCCATTGGCCGTGGCCTCTCTCCTCCGCCCCCCCTTCCCTGGGTTTAAAATCACCCGCGATCAGACACTTGATCTCTTTTCCCCTCTTGGACCTGCCTGGAGTGATTCCACAGTTAAGGTGGGATTTTTGGTCCCGAGGAGAAAAGCGCCTCCCGTCCTTTACTTTGGTCCTTGTGAGATAGTGAGGCCCGGGGGTCCAGAGCTGCCAGACCAGATCCCACAAAGGTCCTGGGTCAACCTTACATTGCCGTTCCCATATTCCAAATCCCATATTCCCCGTCCTGTTCCCATATTCCCAATCCTACTACTGGTCCCGCATTTCCATTTCTGTATTCCCTGTCTCACTTCCCATATTCCCATTCCCACTCTCACTCCTGTATTCCTGTTCCCAATCCCGATACCATCTTCCTAATCCCCGTCCCATATTCTCTCTCTGGTTCCTGTTTCCATATTCCCTGTCCCATTCCAATATTCTCATCCCCAGTCCCATTCCAGGTCCCTCTCCCATTTTCTCAATCATATCCCAGTCCCTGTCCCCATTCCTGTCCCTGTTCCCATTTCCGGTTGCAGTCCCAATAGCCTGGTCCTTGTTCTGGTCCCTGTCCTTATCTCCTATTTCCAGTCTCATTCCTGGTTCTATTCCCAGTCCCTGTCCCCATTCCTGGCCCTGTTCCCAATCCCGGTCCTGTCCCGGTCCCATTCCTGAGGGCTGCACAGCTCGGGCTGGCTGTGGCACACGAACCGTTCAGCCCTGCTGCTGTCCTTGGCCAGCTGCAGAGAGCACAAGGCTTTGGGCATTTCTCAGAGACCCCCGGCTGGCCGGAGCAGCCCCTCCTGCCAGCAGCCGCTGTGCCTCAGAGCCCTCCCTCACGCTGGGGCCATGCAGGGGCCATGGGCCTGGAGGAGGCTCCTGTTCTTGAGACAGGAGCGAGGCTGCAGTTCCCGCCTTTGGGCCCTGGGCCGCAGCAGCGCAGAGGAGGCCCAGCTGCAGAGCTCACAGCCCCTGCTGGCTTTCACTGGGACACTTTGGAGCACCAATCCCCAGCCCATATTCTCTCTGTGGTTGCTGTTTCCATCTTCCCCGTCCCGTTCCCATATTCTCCTCCTTGGTCCTTGTCTCCATTTGCGGACCCTGTCCCCATCTCTGGTCTCATTCCTGGTCCCTATTCCCTTCCCCGGTCCCACTGCCGGCCCCCATTCTCGGCTCCTGTCCCCATTCCCGGTGCCATTTCTGGTCCCTGCCCGCATTCCCGGTGCCATTCCCGGTCTCCATTCCCAGTCTCTGTCCTTAGTCCCAGTCCCCTTCCCCGGTCCCATTCTCGGTCCCTATATCCATTCTTGGTCCCGTTCCCGCTCCCTGTCCCCATTCCCGCTCTCCGTCCCCTCTCACCGCACGCCGCCGCCATCGTTCCGGCTCCCCCGGCCCTCACACAACCGAGCAAACCCCGCGCTGCTCCCGCCCACCAATCCCAGCGCGCGATCGCTCCCGTATTTCCATAACCACTCCCTGCGGTTTGGCCTCGCCCACCGCCGGCTTCAGCCGCCTCCGGGCGCTGTTTGTTCCCAGTTCCCTCCCAGTGCTCCCAGTAAGAGCGGGACTGGCAGGGAAAGCGCTCCCAGTTCCTTCCCGCTGCTCTCAGGATCGCTCCCGTTGCTCCCAGGATCACTCCCAGTGCCGCGCGGGGCAGTGTTGTTTCGGAACGCGCGCCCAGGACAGAGCGCGGCTGCTTTTGGGGGTCGGCACTGCCCGGGCCGGGCTGGGAGCGGAGGAGGAGCGGGAGGAAGAGGAGGGACGGAGGAGGAGGAGGAAGAGGAGGAGCGGGAGGAAGACGAGCGGCAGAACCACGCTGGTTTCCCCGCCGCCTTCCCCCGCCCCTCAGGCCGAAGCTCCCCCGGCTCCTGCTGCATCGCCCCCTCCAGCAGCCGCAGGTGAGCGGGATGGGGGAGCTCGCACCAGATCCATCGTGGGGGGGTCTCCGGGAGGGTTTTTTCATGGGGCAGGGGATGTTTGACTCTTGCAGGATCCCAAACCCGAACCGTAAATTTCCCGTGGAGAGAGCATGGGCGGTCTCACGTTCGCCTGGTACCGGCGGGCACGGGGGCGATCTCGGGCTGGGAGATGCCCGGGAGAGCCGGGGGGAGCTCGGGAGCCCCGGAGCGGGGAGAGCACAGAGGGGCGATCCCGGAGCCGGGGGACAAACCGGCTGCCTGGAGGGGTGCGGGATGCTGGGAATGAGCGGGCTCCGGGCCTTCTGAGGCTGAAAGGGGCGCTGACTTCTCCAGCTACACTTGGGCAGCGGGACCATGAAACCCAACACGCTCAGCCCTTGTTTTCCCCCAAACCAGGATTTCCCATTCCCAAAACTTGGCCCGATGCAGGTGGGGGAGGCTGTGAGGAAGATGTCCCAGGAGCTTAATGGAGGTGAGGAGGAAGTCAGTGCCCCTTTCCCCCTCTCTCCTGCTCCACCTCCCAGCCCAGCACGGCCCCCGGCTGCAGGACAACCCTGCTGCCAAAGCTGTCCTGCTGGGGACGCACTGGGGGGATCTCCTTGCCCTTCCCTGTGGCACAGAGGCAAATCCCATCCTGTCCTTGTCCTTCCTCCCCCAGACCAGGAGCTGAGGATGGAGAGCAGGGAGGATAAATCCCCACAGCAGAACCTCGTGGAAGAGGCTGTTTTGAGCAGCTCCACAGTACAGGAATCCAATGGAGAGGAAAAGTCATGGAGAACCCACACGAGGAGGGGCTGCAAACGCAGATCACGGGGATCTGAGGAGGAAAGTCCCACCCAGGGCCGGGAAGGCGGCCGGAGCTCGGAGCTGGGGGTCGATGAAGAGCTTCAGGATGGGGAGAAGCCCCACCAGTGCTCGGAATGTGGGAAGAGCTTCAGCAAGAGAACCTACCTGGTCTGCCATTGGAGAATCCACACAGAGGTGCGGCCATACGAGTGTCCCGAGTGTGGGAAGAATTTCAGGACGAGCTCCCACCTGACTGTCCACCAGAGGAGCCACACCGGGGAGAAGCCCTTCAAGTGTGGAGAGTGTGGGAAGAACTTCAGCAAGCGCTGCAACCTGAACTATCACCAGCGGATCCACACTGGAGAGAGACCCTACGAGTGTGATAAATGCAGGAAGAGGTTTCAGAGCAGTTCTCATCTCCTCCAGCACCAGCCAATTCACTCAGATGAGAGGCCCTTCCGCTGCCCTGACTGCAGGAAGGGCTTCAATGACAATTCCACCCTCATCAGGCACCGCCGCATCCACAGCGGAGAGGGGCCTGGGGCGAGGCCGTACGTGTTTGATCAATGCTCGAAGGCGTTTAAGACCAGCTCCCATCTCCTGCTGCACCTGCACACTCACACAGACGAGAGGCCCTTCCGCTGCCCCGACTGCGGGAAGGGCTTCCAGCGCAACACCCACCTCACCAGCCACCGGCGCATCCACACCGGGGAGATGCCCTATGAGTGTCCCGAGTGTGGGAAGAGATTCCGGCAAAGCTCAGCCGTGACCTACCATCAATGGAGGCACCACTAAGGGCAGCCCTGTGAGTGCCCTGAGTGCAGGAAGAGCTTCCTGTGCTGCTCCAGCTCCATCCCCTATGGGAGATCCACCCTGGATGATCCCCAGTGACCCCCGGTGATCTGTGGTGCCAGTGATCCCTGTTGGGAAGACACCTGGCTGGGGGGCTCCACATCCTCCTGGCTGCCTGTGGGTACCTGCACACATCCATGGACCAACATCCAAAATCCATTTTGTAGAGCTGATTTGTCCACTCCTGACCCCAGAAAAAAATCACTTTTTGCCTCTTCTGGTGGCCTTAACAACACTGGATAGCCTTGGAAGTCTTCTCCAACATAAATCCATCGTTTTAATTCTCTCTGGCCCACAGATATCTACCACAGCCCAATTTGGAGGGACTGGGGCAAAACCCTCAATATTCCAATTTTCAAGACAGTTGGGTGGCAACCCCTCCAAAAAAGGTTCTTCCCCCCCACCAAGCACATGGATGTTCTGCCAGCAGGAATATATAAATCGTTTTTTTTTTTTTTGCCTTGAAACGAAAAGGTTTCTGTTCATTCCTTTCAAAGCCCTGAAACTGAGGTAGAAATAAAGGCGTTGAACTAAGGCGTGCATGGGGACATGTGGGGGACAATGGCATGTGTAGGGCCATGGGGGGACATGGCGGAACACAGACATGGATGGGAACATGGCAAACATGCACAGGGACATGAACTGGGACAGCGTCAATGCCACCACCACAGTGCCACCAGCACCTTCATCTGGGCCATGGCAAAGCGCTGCCTGATGCAGTTCCTGCCACCACATCCCCACTGTCACCACCACGGTGTCCCAGCTGAATGTCACCACCCATCAGGGCAGGGTGGGGCCATTGTTCAGCTGGTGACAAGTGGCCCGGAAGCAAGTGACAGCCACCAGGGTGTCCCAGGGCCACCGCACTCAGGGGACCTCAACTGCCCATGGGGACAGGGGAAAAGGTCAGTGTCACCTGGCAGGTCGGGTTGCCCTGCACTGGGTGTCACCAGAGGCATCCTGGTGGCAGCATCCACACAGATGTGGCAACATTGTCCCCTGATGTTTGTCATGGTTGCATCGTGTCCCCTCCTCCCCTCTGTATGTCCCTATCCCCCACCATGGCTCCCTGTCACCCCTCTGTGTGTGCCCGTTCTGTCCTGTGTGTCCCTGTCACCCCTCTGTGTGTCCCTGTCCTGTCCCATGTGTCCCTGTCACCCCTCTGTGTGTCCCCATCCTGTCCCGTGTGTCCCTGTCCCCTTCTGTGTGTCCCTGTCCCTCCCCCTATGTCCCTGTCCCCACCCCTGGTGGGGCTGAAGTCCCCAAGGTCTTGGGTTCCTGTCCTGCAGGGTCTCTTTGTGTCCTGCGAAGTGTCCCCGTGTCCCTCAGGATGTTCCAATGGCTGCTCCTGTCACTGAGTGTCTGTGCCCACCCTGGCACAGGCACAGCACCTGTGACACCCCACAAAATCCCATGACGCCCTTTGATTTTGAGTCCTTCCCCCTCCATTTTGGGTCCATTCCCCGTGCTATGGGTCACACTTTAAACCACCCCAGAACCCCCCAAAACTCCTCACCCATGATGTCCACGCATCCCCCTGGAAGTCCCCCCAGGCTCTTGGCCACGGAACTGTTGCTGGTGACATTGAGCCACAGGATCCACAGGCTGTCCCCAAGGGTGGCCCCGGCTGCTGCCTCCAGGGGCCCTGCTGCAACAGGGCCCTCATGGTGGCCAGGACTGCAACCCTAAACATCAGTCAGTGACCCCGAAAATTCATCAGGGATCCCAAAACTTCACCAGGGATCCCAAAACCCCATTAGAGAGCCCTGGCCCCAAATCCATCGTGACAGGTTTCACATGTTGACCGGTACTGCGACCCCAAAAATTCATCACAGATCCCAAAACCTCCCAAAATTCATCAGGGATCTCAAAAACCCATCAAGGATCCCAAAATCCCCTGCTGGGGACAATCCTGGTGTGTCCCTTAAGGAGTTGAGGACACCCCCAGGATGTCCACCTGTTGTAGTGTGCTTTCTTTATTTGGCAGGTTCTCTGTGTAATTTGTGGTTTTGCAACCCCTCTGTATTTTCCTCCCCGTTATTCAGTTTAGTTCTGTTTGTTACCCAGCTACTCCCTGCCAAGTTTCAAACCTCCCCCCCTTCCCAGCTGTTAACCCTTCCTGCCCCTACCTTTGCCCCAGACTCTTCCTTACTCCTCCTTCCATTAAATGTCAATCCCTGCCCGAACCTGCCCTCCCCTTTAGAAACTTCCCTGTCAGTTTTGTATCCTTCGAAACCCCATTGGTTTACTCAAGCTGTTCTCCTCCCTTGAAGTCCTTTATTGGTTTACACATTGTATTCCCTGCCTTGTGTTCCACCCCCAGTTCCCCCGATTAGCTAGAGATTTTATCCTCCCCGAGACCCCCCCATTTATAAGCTGTTGTCTGCCCTCTGTTCAGGGTCCTGGGATCCTGGACTCGCATTGCCCCTCAGCCCGCAGGGCAGGTTTTGCCCCCGAGCAAGGCAGCACAGGCCGGATAGCTCAGTCCCTGCTGGGGACAGAGAGCCCAAATACCCAGGCTGCTCGTAGCCATGGCTACCGTAAGCAAGCTGAGTGGATATCAGCTCTTTAGTGATTATCAGCTCTCTTGGAATTCCAGCTCCTTGCTTGCTAAGGTGCCTGGCAGGCTATTGGGGGAAGCAGACGAGAGAGGAGAAGAAAGGTCCTGGCATTCCACAGCGATGGTTTTATTGGGGGTCTGTGAAGGGTTCCAGTGACGCTCTTCTTCTGCCAAATGGGCTAAAACAGCCCCTTTTTATAGGGTACAAAGGGATCCAAACTTGTCCAATAATAGGGATTGGGGGAAAGTGACCTATGGGGTTACAGAGATAAGCTGGGGTCCGAGAGGTGGAAGACAGGAGCTTATTTTGCTATTTCATCATGACTCAGCAATTCCTATCGCTAAGCCTCAGCCCTCCATGGGGCCCTGGCCAATTCCATGGAGCCTGCTACAGACTTAGGAGTTTTACCATTGAATAAAGTTCCCCCAGTTCCACCCCAGGGCCCGTGCTGCTGCCTTTTTGTTTCTGCGCCGAACCTCCACTGACAGCTGGGATTCTGTGGAGCTCCAACGGGGGCTCTGTCGCGCCCCTGTTATCATCCAGCCGGGACTCAGCGCCCCGTGACAGATCCGCCACATCCACCCCTCCCCGCCCTGTGTGTTCCCCCTCACCCTCCCTGCCCTGGGGACATTTGGGAACACCCCTCTCACCCAGGTGTCGCTTCTGGGGGTCCCTGGTGAGCTGCATGGCCGCGGCCAGGCCGATGCCCTAAGGTCCCCATTCTAATACACAGTACAGTACACACAGCACATCTCAGTCCGTCCCACAGAACACAGCCAGTGAGCCAAAGTTAACCCTTCCCCAGTTTCTCCCTCAGAATCTGGGCAGTGAAACTGCATCTCAGTCCCTCCCACAGAATACAGCCAGTGAGCCAAAGTTAACTCTTTCTCAGCTTCTTTCTCAGAACTTGGACAGTGAAACCCTGGCTGCATGTCTCTTAAAAAGCACTGGCAGTAAGCCAGAAGTAACTCTTTCGCAACTTCTTTCTGTACAGAGCCTAAGCAACATAACTGCCCAACTCCCCGTACCGCAAAATACAAACAGTGAACCCTCACCAACAGAGCTTTCAGGAAACTAATATCTCTGCCACTTACAGGTGACAAAGGGACGGAGGTTGGGTTTACCTACGAATGCTCACAAAAAGAAATCAGGAGATATATTAATCACAGCTATCACGGGCCCCAAAAAAGTTCTGGTAACCTTCATAGTTGATACGGGAGCCCAGATCTCCACACTAACACATAAAGTTGCCCAGAAGTGTGGAGTTGTTCCAACAAAAAGACAATGCTGCGTTCTTAATACTTTAGGAACTATAGAACCCATGAATGTTGCTTTAGTCAAAGTAACACTCTCTGGAGAGGAAAATCAATTAGTTGTCAAAATGGTAATTGGGGACATTCTGAACAATCTGCTAGGGATGGATGTCCTTGCAGGAAGACAGTGGGAAGACACTGAGGGTTTTCTGTGGTGTTTTGGCACTCCGCCACTTAACATTAGGCTGCTTCAGACCGCACCTGCACTGCCTTACAGTAAAACAATCAATGTGAAACAATATCCTTTGCCTTCTGGAGCTAGGGAAGGCATCAAACCGGTTATTCAAGATTTGCGTGACCAGGGAATAATAATTAACACACACTCCCCTTGTAATTCACCCGTGTGGCCAGTCCGAAAGCCCAACGGGACGTGGAGGTTCACGATTGATTATCGTAGGCTCAATGCCAACACTGACCCTCTGACTGCAGCAGTGCCAAATTTAGCTGAATTAATAACATCAATACAAGAAAAAGCTCACACAATCATGGCAACGATAGATGTCAAAGACATGTTCTTCATGATACCTATACAGCCAGAGGACATGGACCACATTGCATTCACATGGGAGGGACAACAGTACACATTCACTAGACTCCCTCAGGGATACAAACACTCTCCAACTCTAGCACACAATGCTTTAGCTAAGGAATTAGAAAAAATACCTCAAACTGACACCGTAGCTATTTACCAATACATTGATGACATTTTGGTAGGAGGAGAGGAAATTAAGGGGGTGGGGGATCTCCAGCAGAATATAATCTCTCATCTGGAGAGCCTAGATTCAAAGATTCCCCCAGAGAAAATCCAAAAGCCTTCTCAGGAAGTAAAATTTCTGGGAATTTGGTGGCGATCCAGAAGCACATGTATCCCACCTGACACTTTAACTTCTTTAGAGCAGATGAAAATGCCTAAAAACAAAAAGGACCTCCAGCAAGACTTAGGACTGTTAGTATTCTGGAGGAAACATATCCCAGATTTCTCAATCATTGCTAGGCCCCTTTACAATTTACTAAGGAAAGAAGTCAAATGGGATTGGACTCCTTCTCAGGAGGAAGCATTACAATTACTGATTTTTGAAGCCACAGCACATCAGGCATTGGGGCCCATTCATCCTAAAGACCCTTTCCAAGTGGAATGGGGATTTACCTCCTCAGGGCTATCAATACACATTTGGCAGCGAGGTCCTGAGGGTCCAACAGGGCCTGTCAGCTTCTTTTCCCGTGGTTTTAAGGGTGCTGAGAAAAGATACACTGTTTGGGAAAAGGGATCATTTGTTGTTAGCTTAGCTCTCATTGAAGTAGAAAAACTCAGACGGCAGCAAGCTATCATCTTGAGAGGTCCCTTCAAGGTAATTAAAGCTGTCACAAATGGGACCCCTCCACCCGATGGCATAGCCCAAAAGTCATCAGTCAGGAAATGGTATGCCCAAATAGAGTACTATTGCAATAGCTTTCCTGTCACAGAAGGTGCTGCAAAATTCTTGGCAATACAAGACACTGAGAGCCTGGATACCAGCCAAGACAAACCTGCTTCTGTAATAAAAGTAGCACCACTCTTCTCGTCTGAATTAGCAGCAACCTGTTGGTTTACAGATGCTTCTTCAAAGTGGGAAGGAAAGACTTGGAAATATAAGGCGGCTGCCTTGCATATTTCATCTGGTGAAAAAATTATCACAGAAGGGG